GACTCATCCGCCCACAGGAGGGCCGGCTCCAGCTCCAGCTCGGGGGTTCAGCAGGTTTCTGCATGTGGTCTGGGAGGATTTCATTCAAATGTTACATCTAAACACCTCGGTTTTAGTCAGTCCCATAGCTATTATTATTACCCATGAAATGCAATTTGCTACGTAAAAATGCTTACATGCTTACCGAGATATAGGTTTTCTTCCCTGTAGTTTTGGGTTATTTGGTTCCTTATTTTACTCAATTAACTCTAGGTGTTTCCTTTTGGGTGATAGTTCATATTTATTCTAATCATGTTTTGAGAATAAAATCAGAATTTTCTCCACAGTAATTCATTAGGACCAAGAATCTAAATGTTCCTATTTTGTGTATAAATTCTTACATCTACAAAATGTTTCATTTTGATCTGCTGAATTCTCCACATTAATTTTCCCAAAAAGTCTTCAAATGTTCAAAGTTTACATTGATTCTTCCAGGCTGAAATCCCTTGCCTGCATTATGAGTTTAGTGTGTCGACTCCTTGTACTCTCTAGGATCTTTCTTTTCTTCAGCAATCATTAAAGTTACATTGGACATACTGAATTCAGTAAAGTTATGTGTATAATAATTCAAAATAAACAATTGGCCATCTAATATTGTTTGCCTGCCCTCCTTTCTTTTTTTAAATTTGAAGACTTGTTTTTGTGTTTCATAACTGAATCTTTCAAACTTGACAGAATTGCTAGGTTACCTTACAGTTTGGTCAGCTTTCAAATTATTAAAGAAAAATTGAAAATATACCCATATACTTCTCTAAGGACATCACTGTTCTATAATATCACCTTAGAAATCTAAAGGTTTTTTATAAACAGAAAATTAACACTGTACCTTTGTACCTTGATTTTTTTTCTCCAGAATATGAGACTTTATAGCTCCATAGGCACACATCCTCAATTTGCATGTGACTTTATCACACAAATAACTTCCTGCGGGATAGTAAGCGCGTATCAAGTGGAGCCGTAGTAGATTAATTTGTTCCAATCTCAGCAGTGGCAGGCTCGAATTACTCACTACTGCCCCAATGCCCTTGATTCTCAAATGAAAGACACACACGCACACACACACACAGAGCTTTCTATTTTATTGTGCCTTAATCAGAGCAATGCCTGAGCCACCCTTAAATTTCCATGTTGCTAATATCTCCCCTCCTATACTCCTGAATTATCACTTACTAAAATCTATATTCCATCTTTGGTACCCTAGACCCAATTGGAGGTTCCTTCATGCTGCTCTTCCCGACTCTTACATGATTGTAAACTCTCTCTTCTGGAGCTGTCAAGCCGGATCCTTCTTCCTCTTGTGCATGACACTACTAAATCCTTCTTATGTCTTCAGTTTCCTTGCCTGGGAAAACAAAAGTCCTGCCTTTGCCTCCCTGCCCAATCATTGGCCACCTGCAGCTTTATTTACCAATTGGAACCAACTGGAGGCACTGACCCAGTATCTTACATGCAGGATTCTCATGTAATTTTGGAGGGCCCCAATTAACACAATACAAGCAATAAACCAAATCCACAACATTTCCTTCTTTTTGTCCATTAAAAAGGCCTTTACTCTCAAATATACATTAAATAGAGTTATAACAGTTATGTAAGTATAAGGTATGATATCACTAATAATGTTCAATCAATAATCCATCAATTTTGTCAGTTTAGGTACAAGACTCTAACATCTATCCTAACTTAAAAAGTTTACAATTCTAGTTGGCTTGATTATTGCTGGTATAACAGCTATAATTACATTAATTGCTACCACCACTGCTTCCGCAATTGCTGTGGCACAAGAAGTTAAGACAGCTACTTTTGTTAATCATTTAGCAAAAAACGTTTCTAATATGTTGAATATACCACAGAATTTAGATAGGCATTTGGAAGAACGGATTGATGCTCTTATCCTATTCAAATTTCTGGAAGGAGGTTCAGAATTTAAGGGTAAGGAGCCATCTTGAGTGTCATGCCAAATACCATGAGACTATAACTAGTCTTCAATCTTGTCAGAGATCTGAGAATGGATTAACTATTACCCCAATATATAGGAATCACAAAAACAAAGCTTGCAAAACTTAACTAATTTGCAGACAGCTGACTACCTAGACAGTCCTCCATTTTTTCAGACTTCAGGCCCAGAACCATCTGATAGACCTTAAGTGAACCAAGAAATATGAAGGACTAGCTTACCCTGTCTTGGCAGAGCTAGGCTGTCAACTACCCCAAATCATGTATCTTTTCCTGGACAGTATTTTTGTCTGTACATGAATTAGGGCAATTCTTGCCCAGTGGCTACCTTGCCACACTGGAACGTCTCTATATGGAGGTTATGATGCTCAATATCTTCTTTGAACTGTGAAGAGGTACTGTCAGGAGCAGACATGTCTCTGACTTTCATAATACAACAACCTAGTGGGTACATGAAAAACACTTAGAATTGGGCCTGACACATAATAGGCATTCAATAAGTGTTTGTCATTTGGGAAAAGTTTTAGGCATGGGTGAAATAAGAAGATGAAGAAAAAAATTATTGAGAAAATATACCATTAAATATCTCCATAGTTAAATTACAAATATGTGGTAGATACAAAATTCAAAACGTGGAAACAGGTAGCTCAATAGTATAGTTTCTAACATTTATAAGAACTGAATGTAATCCCAAGCACAAAATACAAAAACACAAATAAAATATAAATTTATTTGAAGATGATTTCTTTGTGCTAGGCATAATGATACTTGCTGTCATTTTAGTACTTTGGAGGCTGAAGCAGAAAGATAGCATATTCAAAGCTCGTCTGGACTATATTCCAAAGGTCCAGGCCATAAGTGGAGATAGATGATAGATAGATGATAGATAGATAGATAGATAGATAGATAGATAGATAGATAGATAGATAATAACCTACCTCAACCCTCAACCTGCTCCTGGGCTGCCCCTGGAAGAGTCAGCATGGCGTCTGGACCCGGAACTGTCTTTCAAGTCCTCATTTCTGTCACTAAAACGTATTGTCAGCATTCAAATATACTAGACAATTAATATAAATGAATATAGTCATTGTTTTGGTATCTTGAAATCTGTGATACTAGAAGGAGCCATTTCTATAGAGAAGCTGTGATATAAAGATGTAGTAAGAATTTTGGTTTCTTTGAAAAACATGGAAATGTTATGGGAATTTGTTTTTGTCTCATTCCCAGCTGTGGGATGTGAGGTTGCTTCAAATTGTCAAGAGCAGTAGACTATGACTGGCCTTGTGCTCTAGGAGGGGCATGATTTTGTCAACTGCAGATAGTTTCTGTGATTATGTGATGTTTGAAATTCTGGGGGCTTCTCCTAAAATGTTAGAGTCCCAATAAGGGGATGGCTGGTTGTCTGGTTGGTGGTTGGATACCATTGCTTGGTATTGGTTGCAGTTTGTTGCGGTTTGTCAAGTGGTTGTTCACAAAGAGATGAGAAGAAGAAAGTTGATATACTGACAGCAAGGACCAAACTTGCCCCAAGGAACTTGATGCTCCTAATTAACAGGAAGTAGTCTAACAATATTGTCACCCCCACCCCCTTTAACATGTATTTTTTCCTCTCCTTCCTAGTGTTAGGAGGTGGAAGGGTGGAAGAATAAGGGTAGAGAAGGATGGAAGAAAAAAGAACCCACAAAGTAGCCAAACATCTGCTATATAAAGTAATTTTTGGAAAGAGAAGAAATGGATGGTCCTCCAATGAACCAGACATAATAAATATAAACTCTTTCTGTCAGAAGCAACAAACTACTATCTAACCAAATCATTAGGTTTCCAACATTCATAAGAGTGCTAGCTTATATGGATTTGGAGGAGGAGCGAGGTATGAGAATATAGTCTTCATGAGATACTTTTGAGAATTAACAGGAGAGGAGATCATGGATGATATATTTGGGAAGCCAGAGTTCAAGGCTAAACCTCCCTTGCCCAGATTTTTGAAGAATAAATAGCAAACTAAAGTAGTACATTTTGAGTTGCAATGCAATGTTTTGATATATGTATATAATGTGAAATAATCACTATAGTCTAGCTAAGTTTAATATATCAATTATCTCACATAGCTTCCTTTTCCAAGAGTGTATGTGGTAGAAACATGAAATATAACCTCGTAACAAGTTCCACAACACAACATAATTAACTATACTCAAGAATTTTACATTCAGTTTCCAATAATCACTCTTCTTGGAACACAAGAGTTTAATTCTTTGTTCAATGGCCTTCTCTTTCCTTACATGTTCAACCATGATAACCACTATTCTACTCATTTTGTTTTTTTAATTCGATATTTTATTTTTTTACATTTCAGATGTTATCCCCTTTTCCCATTCCCCACCGCCCATTAATCCCCTATCCCATCCCTCCTCCTCTTTTTTTTGCTTTTATACCATTTAAATTACATGCACGTATTAAGGTCAGATTCCATATCATGCAATATTTATCTTTCTGTGTGTGATTTAGAATTATGTTCTCTGGGTTCATCTATATTTTTGCAAATCACAACTCTCCCTTAATCTTAAGGCTGACTAATTTTTCATTGAGTACACACTCACTCCTTGTTAACAACACAGATATGTTATGAAAATGCCTCATTAAGGAACTCTGACATTAGATGAACACCACAGGGTGCACTTACACAAACATCGATGGTACAAATCAAGAGGACTTGACGTGTCCTCTTGAGGCAATTCTGTAAACTGAAATGTATAAGCTATTGCCAGCATTATATGTCACAACCTGAATGGGACTAGGGGAGCTGTGAAGCCAAGGGGAGCAGACCTGAAGCAAGGGTGGGTCAAGGCATGCCCAAATCCCCAAAAAGCTCATTCTGAGACTGGCAGAAGTAGGACTGCTTCCTTTCTGCTCCAGCCAGCATGTAGCTTGATAGCCAGGTTACATACAGGTTAAAAATCCTCTTTCCTTATAGGATCACATCCAGCAGCCCCTGGATTTCTTCCTTATGCAAACAGACATCCCCAGTACCTCAGCACTGACCAATGATGTACACTCACTTCATAGCCTCTACTCACTCCCAAAGCGTGGGAAGTTTGGTAAGGTAGAGTAGGTTGAGACCCAGAGACTCGGTGTGCACACATCTGAGGCTTGGGCAACTCCTAGCTCCCTGCCAGACTACTGACTCGAAACATACTGCCATGCTTCTCACAGAAAAGAAATGTGTCCTTTGGTCAGCCCAGAGGGCTTAGCCAATAAGCTTCTCTTCCCAAACATTCCTCCCTGCAAAAGGTATTTAATCTCTGGCCCACCCGGAGAAGTGGGGTACGGTACATTATGCATCTATTTTCTGCCACAAACAACCAATAAACTGTTTGGAACAATGTACTGTCTTTTTCATCAAAATCCACCGTGAGGAACCTGGGGAAGGCCTTTGTCTACAGAGCTGAAGCTTTACTCTCCTGTAGAAGGCCTCTCTGTGCTCACAGCCACAAAAGCCACCAAGCCTGCCTCTGTCAAGCCAAGGACAATCACACCAAGACACAAGCTGGAGCTCCAGCTAGACGCTGTCCCCAGCCCTCAGGCCCTGGGTTCTGTTCTCTGCTCCTCCGAGACTCCCAGTGGCACCTGGGTGTCCAAGAGTCTGAGAACCCCACGAGCCCAGACCTCATTGAAGGCTTGGGGGCTCCTGAAACAGCGCTGACTTTTCCACATCTCAGATTGTACTTTACTACCCCGAGACTGGTGTCTCAGAGCTTCTTACAGCCCAGCATCCGCCCCAGCAGCAGCATGGGATAGGCATAGTCAAAACTCCCCACGCTCCGCTTCCCCCAAGGGGCCGTGTTGAGTGGCGGAGTGGACGCAGACCTACACCAAAGGTTTATATATAGCCTTTGTTGCCCCCAGTTAAATGAGTTACTCAATGAAGCCTGTTTCCCAAGAAGTCTGTTTCTCACAGCACAGGTAATCAGTCTGTCTCTGATTACCCTCAGCTGTCGCCTTGCTTTTGCTCTTAGGCCACTGGCTGTGATTGAAGACAATGACACCATTCAGAGGAAGGAAACAGAGTGGGAACAAGCACGCAGCAGTGTGTGGTTTGAAGAGACTGTCAGGATGCACAGAAAGAAGTAAGATGAGCTCTATTCCCAGAGAAGACATTGATTGGTCACCCAGATCTTGCCTCTATGCTACTAGAGCTAGCAGCGTGTCTTTTCCTTCTCCCTCTTTCTTCCTGGTTTATGCCATAGCACTGGACTTCTCTGAGAAGGGTAAAGAGACAAATGAAACCTTCTGGCATTGATAAAAGGTCTCTAACCATCTACCTGAACCCTGACTTGGGAGTTGATGAAAAACCCTATCTTTTCTCTTCAAAAAAGAAAACAAATAAATAAGAAACAAGTTACACAATAACCAGTTAAAAGCCATTTAGGAGGGTTGCCAGTTTTTCTGAAATTTTTGGTCCGGCTTATATTTGGTGACTATAGGAAATTCCCTGTAGAGAAGTTGCACAGCCTCCAGGAAAGGCCCTCCCTGACCCTGGTATTTCAAAAACCTTCTCAAGAGAGAGAGAGAGAGAGAGAGAGAGAGAGAGAGAGAGAGAGAGAGAGAGAGAGAGAGAGAGAGG